CTTATCTCCATGGAGTTGGCCTTGGGCTTTCTCAGATGTTAGCCAGGCTGGGCTTGACTTTGCCTTCACAAGCCAAGAAAATGTGCTTCTTTTTCTGTGTTCGGGTAAAGAACCAACTCTCAGTTTCTGCCAGTTATTTGCAATTATTCTCTCTTCTTCTCCCCCAAGCAGAGAAGCAGCATAACCCAAGAGCTTGGGTTCCAGGTGTCCTACAAATCTGGGTTTGATTCTCAGGTCTTTCCCTTGTTTAATGGTTGTGTGATCTTGCCAAATATTAGTCTGCTCTGTAAGGAAAAAACCTAAAACTTGTTTTGGAGGAGCACTGCATGAAGATAGTGCCAGGTATATAAAAAATTACAACTATCATGATGCATTGGGCAGGGTATCCAAAACATGGACCCGTTAAAAGGTTCAAGATAATACCTCCCCTTCCACCCACCCCAGGATTTTTTTTTTTTTTTTGAGTTGGAGTCTCACTCTGTCAACCAGACTGGAGTGCAGTGGCTGCTCCCAGCCACTGCAGCCTCGACCTGCTGGGCTCCGGTGATCCTTCCTCCTCAGCCTTCCAAGTAGCCGGAATTACAGGCATGTGCTACCACGCCCAGCTGATTTTTTGATTTATTGTAGAGATGAGGTCTTGCTGCCCAGGCAGGTCTCGAACCCGTGGGCTCAGGCAATCCACTCACCTCAGCCTCCCAAAGGCACGGGATTACAGGCTGAGCCACCGAGCCCGGCCACCCCAGGATTTTTACATGAACACTGGTTGAGTATTAAAAAGAATTTGGGCTGGGCTTGGTTGTGGGGGTCCAGCCCCACAAGGGTCGTGAGATTTCCTGAAGGAGAGACAGACAGGTGAAGGACAAAAATATTATACTCGGATACCTGCTTCCTGAACAGATGACAATTTAATGTTAGTTAACACAGAGCTTTTATACCATTCATAAAGGGGCAAGACAAAGAAAATTCCTTCACGTACATATGCTTTAAAAGTTACCACCATCTAGCGGTCTAGAAGCAACAAACAAGCCAAGAACACTATCTACTTTTAGTTAATGAGTCTTTATCATAAAGCCAAAAATGTTGGTTTTAGTTCAAAGTCTCGAATTACAGTCCTTGAAATGTTTCAAGAAAGTTCCCAGGTGCACAGTTCTTCATGTAGCAGTTTTTTTTTTTCTTTTGGGCTTTTATGACCTTCAAAGTTTTATAATCGCCTTTCTTGTCCTGTTACTTTTCTCTTATCCTGCAGTGTTTATTTCTAAAGAAAACTCAAAAGAAGCTTTTAGTGATGTTTCCCAGGCCCCCAAAGTTGCTTTCTGTCTTTAGCTAATTTATCATAAAAGTGTCTGATTAGTATATTATGAGTTCAGTGAAAACCCACTCTGTAAATGTTAACTTAGAGTTTTAACTATTGAATTAAGTAAAAACCTTAACGATTAACCTTTATCCTAAGTCAGTGAAAACAGTGTTATAAATCACCTACATAACTCCTAGATAAGTGTTAGAACTTATAATGAATTCATAATGAACTTACTATAAACTTGTGCTTCTAAAAAACCTTATGTCTAAACACTAAACTACATAATTCTAAATCAAATAAGGAATGAATATACTTATATCATTTATTACTTAAGCAATACCAGTAACTTATAACCAAGTGAAAGAAAGCATTCTTGATGTGCTTCAGAGTTTAACCCTTGCATATGTTAGAAAAGGCCAAACGGCATAGTGGGAAATGGAAAAATGAACCATGACATTCTCAGGTTAGCTGTGAGTACTTCGCATAAACATGCCATTTTCTTCTTCCACGACTGCACAGAATTTCTTCAGCCGTACCAACAGCAAGGATGGAAGATAGAAGGGCCTCAGTTGCCCGGACTCGCCTTGCGGCCGTGGGGGGGAGGGGTGTCCTCAGCGCACCTGGACCTTGTCAATCAGGCGGGCCTCCAAAGCTGGCTCCCAACACTTGGTGGCTCAGCCTGTAATTCCAGCACTTTGAGAGGCTGAGGCGCGTGGATTGCCTGAGCCTGCGGGTTCAAGACCCACCTGGGCAACTTGCTGAGACCTTGTCTCCACAATAAAACAAAAATTAGCTGTGGTAGCATGTACCTGTAATTCCACTACTTGGAAGGCTGAGACAGAAGGATCGCCTGAGCCCAGGAGGTCGAGGCTGCGGTGGCCAGGAGCGTGCCACTGCACTCCAGTCTGGGTGACAGAGTGAAACTCCAACTAAAAGAAAAAAGAAAAAAATGAGGACGTTTACCTAATAGTTTTGAGATAATTCTTCTTCACTGCAAGGATCCATCACAAAGATGATGTCAGTCTAAGGTTGGTCAGGTAGTTGCTGGGCAGATGTCCTTGCAGAAGTGTAATTCATAGCAATTATCCTGATGGCTTTAAGATCTAGTTTCCTGGTTATCTCAAAACTTGAGAGGGCACAGAATAATGGCTATATATCTCTTCCTGGAAAGACATTCTTCCTATGATAAATTAAGAAAACAGTCTTCCGATTTATCTATTTATTTTTTGAGTCAGAGTCTCACTCTGTCGCCCAGGCTGGAGTGCAGTGGCAGGTTTACAGCTACTGCACTCCAGCTGGGTTTAGGCAATCCTTCCGCCTCAGCCTTCCAAGTAGCTGGAACTACAGGCGCATGCTACCATGCCTGGCTTATTTTTGTATTTATTGTAGAGACGAGGTCTCACCAAGTTGTCCAGGCTGGTCTTGAACCCCTGGGCTCAGGCAATACTCTCACCTCGGCCTCCCAAAGTACTGGGATTACAGGCCTGAGCCACTGTGCCCAGCTAGTTTTCCGATTTAAAAATATGTTTTCTGAGAGTTTGCCTGGCATGAATAATCCTTGATAAACTGATAAAATACCCAAGTTCGGTAGAGAGAGAGGAAAAAAGTGAGGGTGCTTACCATAAAGGTGTTCAAAATCTAGGTGGAGGAAATAAATATATAAATTTTTAAAATTGTAAAATAATATGAGAAAGGTCATAACAGATTTATGAACAAAGTGATATTAGCATTTGGAGATGAAAACTGAGTTGAAGTTTTAGGGAAGGATGGAAATCTGTTCCCAGGCTAGAGAGCATTTCAGGAAGAGAAAATTGTGTGTCACAACTTGAAAGAGGGAAGTGTTTGGGCAGGAAGATCAGTTTCTGTCCTTGAAAAATTGAGAACAGACTTTGAATAGAAAGTACTTCAAGGTATCACAGTCTGTTACAGTCAGTGAGCATTTCCCATCAGGTTACCATGGTGAAAGCTTGTCAAGGAACCAGGTTTGGAAAATTAAGCAAGAGATGTTTGTAGAAACTTATCAGAGATCTCCAGGGCTCTATGAGTCACTTACAATAGATCTCAAGCCCTGCTTCAGCCAGATGCTTTACTTAAAACCTTGCAAATGTTACCTTTTACTGAATGTGTTACTCAACGTACTGAAAGTTAATAATTTATGCTGCTCTGATCTTTCCAGGAGAAAATGGAACTAGTAATGGCAAGCAAGGCAGATGCCTATAGGGAAAAGGTCAGATCATGTCTCCAATCTCTCAGTTTCATCTTTTTTGTTGTTTTGTTTTGAGTCTAGGTTTCACTCTGTCGCCCAGGCTGGAGTGCAGTGGCAAAGTCACCGCTCATGGCAGCCTCAACCTTATAGGCTCAGGTGAGCCTTCCGCCTCAGCCTCCACAGGTAACTGAGAATACAGGCCCATGCCCCCATGCCTGACTGATTTTTTTTTTTTTTTTTTTTTG